TGGACAGACTATGATCAGGTTGATATTATAGAGAAAAAATAGGTTGCAAGTCAGTACATTAGACATCCGATGGTAAGGAAGGCCAAGAGCTGACAGCTCGATCCTGCAGGCATGACAAGGCGAATACAAATAGGTAAATACACAGACACTGCGGAGAGCCAAGTGAAAGGCTCCAACGAAGTCATCAGAATGGAGCCGGCGGACACCAGATGGATGGCTGCTCGTTAAAGACTGAACCCGCTACAACAGGAAGAGGTAAAAGACTACTATCAGGGACTTGACGAAACTAAGCCTGCGGGATCTGACAGGATATCTCACCGCACAGGTTCAAGGAAACTCTGTCCAGCAGCTGGACATTCTCATCAATTCTGTCAGGCGCTATCCTCCCCCGCGATAGCTGCCACATAGTAAGGATTGACGATTTCAATGCGATCTCAGTACACAGTATACATTCACTTCTAAAAAATCTACCTCTTACGGGCTAGTCATACCCGTGCCACCTCTTGGGTGGCTTAATCTTCATCAATCAATCAATCAAGGACGCTGCAGAAACACTTCGCCACAACACAGAACACAACACTATGGAGCAGAAACACAACCACCGTGGAGCATCTTGCGATGATCTCCCTGGCCGTAATGGAGCTGGATGAATGTATGTCATATCATATTCAAGGAAGGAAACAGACAGACGCCACTAAATTACGGACCCGTGACCTTAACACACATTCCAAGCAAAGTGCTAGAGATAATAACAAGGAAGGAATTAATATTGTGTCTAGAGGATATTAATTCCACACAACCCTCGAACACAGGTTCAGGGGAGGGAAGTCATGTATGAGAAAAGCAATTACAGTTCTACTATGGAATGAATGAGATCAAACAATAAAGGAATGAGTGGGCAGACTGCATATTACACTCTCGCAAAAGAGTGGCTCCTGCACAAGCTAGAGAATCTGGCCGGATAAACAGGCAGAATAATTAGGTGAAGAACTACCTGTCGAATAGGAAAAATGGAGAATATTAGTATAGGGGGAAGGTCTTAAGTTCAAGGTTCAATTCACTTGACACTCCTTGTATACACGAATGACATATGTCGTAAACTCATCTCTCTTTGTCATAGTTTTCTGTTGATACAAAGCTGATGGGCAAGAGAAAGGGGTAAGAGAATATTGTAAGAGGCTCCATTATGACTTCAAGTGGCTGGGCACCATTCCTTTCCCCCGTCCCATCCCAAATCCTTGCCCTGACCCCTTCCAAATGATATATAGTCGTGATGGCTTGGCGCTTTCTCCCGATAATACCCTTCCATTATGACTTGGATAAGTTGCAACCTTGATCTGCTATTTGCCGGAGGCGGGGGGGGGGGGGGGGGAGGGAGTTGTATGCGACTGCCACAACAGTTGTATTGTTCCTGGGTTTTAGAGTCCATGCGGTGGAGTCCTTGACCTCGATGATGATTGGCGCTTTGTTTCTGCAAGTTCCATGCTGCTTTAATTAAAGGAGTTTCCAGTCCTCTTAGCTCTGGTGTTAGGCTCGAGAGGACTCTTTGAAACACAAAGATATTATTATGTATTATAAAGGGTAAGGCTTTCATTCTGGTTCTACATAAACATCTGCGTGCAAGTCTTATGAAGGAAGTATATACTGTTTTAAATACCCCTAATATTCAATTTGTCGGCTTTCCAAATATTTTTAAAGTTACCCTCTCCCCCGGACCAGTAAATTGGGTCCAGTCTTTTCCAGCGTTGCCTTGCGCTCGTAGGGTTGGTTGGCTGGGCGCTAGTACTTCACTGCTTACCCTTTGAGATGTAGTGTATTGTCTCAATAAGCGTACTTGAACTTCACTGTTTGCCCCTGTTCACCCAGCAGTAATTGGGGCGTCGTCTTCCAGGGACAACTGGTAGGGCAAGATTTAATATGAGGTGTGGGAAGGGAAAGATCTTAAGTCTCCTAACATGACTCAAAGGTTGTCTTCTTATACCACTTGTGTACAAAAAAAAAGATGAACGAATCAATTGGTTTTTCTCTACATAAATTATAGATAAGCTGTTGCTTGGTTTAAGGCCTATCAACCTCGGTTGTGTTTTAAAACGACCAGATCTTACTGGCCAACCAGCAAGGTAATTGTCCTATTGGGCTTCCTATTGGCTCCTATTCAGATCCTCATCTGAACTAAAAAAAAACATATAAACATTGCATATACGCAGAGAAGTGGGGTACAAGTCTTCCTACATAATATCCCTTGCTTAATCTCGTATGTGGCAGGGTAGTTATTAACAATGATACACAGGAGTTAAATATACAGTTATCTATGTTGGGCAAGATCACCAGGTACACTGTACGCCGGTAAATATTGTTGCTATTTTACGTCGGCATCAACATGGAGAACTCTCAGATACAATGAGATTTAATTCATAATTAAAAAAAAACGCGTAGCGCTAAGCTAAGTAATTAGAGGATATTTAGTGATGAAGAACCGGCTGAAGCGTTCCTTCTGCGGTGGTAATGTTCCCAAGTTGGTCGTAACTTACTTAAAATTATGTGGACCAATTCGAGCTAGTTTTTTGTTACTATATTCCCATTAGTCTTAACTAAGGCATGATAAGCTGTTCTTAATTACTAGCATTAAAGAGTGATATTAGGTATAAACAGGCCAGCAGCAAGTCTATCCATATGATAACATTTTTTGCTCCTACGAATACCACTCTAGTTTAATACTAAGCCTTAATGGACAATGATTATTTAATCTTATTTTATATTTTAAATAGTCAAACCCAATATGAGCGATCATAGTCTCGACAAATGTGACGACCGAATAAGTTAAATAAAGATGTAATCGGTCTTAACGAAATGAGCGACATAGGCTTCAGATTTAACTACCACACACACACGCCAGGCTGTCTGCGGCTGAGTGGACAGCGCTAGGGATTCGTAGTCCTGAGGTTCCGGGTTCAATCCCCGGTGGAGGCGGAAATGGGCAAAAGTTTCTTTCACCCTGATGCCCCTGTGCACCTAGCAGTAAATAGGTACCTGGGGCGTTAGACAGCTGTTACGGGCTGCTTCCTGGGGATATATAACAAAAAGGAGGCCTGGTCGAGGACCGGGCCGCGGTACGCTAAGCCCCGAAATCATCTCAAGATAACCTCAAGATAACCACACACGTGGAGGTCTCCATGACGGCGTTCACTGAGTGGGGGCGATGACGTCTGAGTGTCTATTCTGCGTGAAATGACCAATCTGATCTACGCGGGTGCGTCTCTGAGCTGCATTGGCATCGTTATCTGGTTGCCTATTCGTGATTGGCAGGAAGGGCAAAGGGCCTCCTATTGGCTCCCGTGCCAATAGGAGATCGCGCAACAGGTGAGCACTCAACACCTGTGTTCACCTAGCTGTGCTGCAGGGAAGGGTTGAGCTTCATCTCTTGGGTACCACCTTCTTACCTTCAGTCGGTGGGTATTCAGGTTTTAAAACATTTGTAAAGTTTACATTTACATTTTAAGCTATGCATGGAAAGTTTCTTTGTAATATGCGACTTCTTAGTGTTTCCACTCACTAACTACCATGCATTCCGAATAATCTGAGCTGTCTGTTTCCATTAGTATTTTGCATACGGTAATCATATGCACTTTATTTATATAAAACAGAACAAAGAAAACGATTGCAATTAATAATATAAACGGCAAAGCATAGGGAGATGCCAGCGAATAATTCCCAAAACACGGAATAAACGATAAAGGGAAATTACATTCTGATCGTAAACTGAAATTAGTGCAGGGGCCCACGGAGAATTTTTTTCAGATTATTTTTTTTTTTTGGGGGGGGGAGGGGGAGGGGGAGGGGGAGGGGATGGGAGCAGGAATAGTGAGTGGAGATGTATATAATTTGTTAGCGCATCCTCCCTTCTCTTCTCCTAATCATGGTCCGGTTGAGCAGCATCTTCTCGGTTCCGGATGCTGTGGCGATCTTAGTCTTTCTCCTAGGCATACATTATGGGAGAGGAATCAGAATATTCCATTCACCTGGGCTCTAGGAGACTCAAACCGTGGACCCCGTGTGTGTGAGGCCGAAGCTCTATCGAGCGAGCTATTGAGTAGTCTTAGAAAATCTTATTGAGTAGTCTTTAGTCTTTTATAGGAATGAGAAAAGTTACCGGAGGAATAACTGGCTTGTGGCGCCCAGGCCTTCATAGCGACGTGGCGTTTTGATCCTACGATGTCGGCTCTTTCCGTCGTTGTGAAGAAGTCAGCCGTTCGCTTGTTCATCCAGCAGTAGGGAACGTGATTTGGGTTTAGACAGTCATGAGACAGTTACACAGGTTCATTTTACCTGTGTAACTGTGCCAGCTTACAAGGTCATCGAGACAGCCTTACAAGGGCCTCGAGACAGTCTTACAAGGGCCTCGAGACAGTCTTACAAGGACCTCGAGACAGCCTTACAAGGACCTCGAGGCAGTCTTACAAGGACATCGAGACAGTCTTACAAGGACATCGAGACAGCCTTACAAGGGCCTCGAGACAGCCTTACAAGGACCTCGAGAGTCTTATAAGTGCCTCGAGATAGTCTTACAAGGACCTCGAGAGTCTTACAAGGACATCGAGACAGTCTTACAAGGACCTCGAGACAGTCTTACAAGGACGTCGAGGCAGTCTTACAAGGGCCTCGAGACATCCTTACAAGGGCCTCAAGACAGTCTTACAAGGACATCGAGACAGTCTTACAAGGGCTTCGAGACAGTCTTACAAGGGCCTCGAGACAGTCTTACAAGGGCCGTGGAGACATCACTACACCGTTCTGAGAGACAGCACCTTAAGCTGTCTCCAGACAAACACACAACAGTCAAGCATTAAAGCTGCGGTAAAGCCTCTCAACTACCACAAAACTCGAGCATGTACAACATAACATCTTTCATCTCGACTTCCATTCTTAAAATAATGAGTCTGAGAGCTTTGCCGGCGCTGACTTGTGCTATTATTAACCTCATCAAGGTAATTGGGACAGTAATGGGGATGGTGAGTGACGGTAGATGAAGCCCCGCGTCGTAATGGAGAGAAAACGGGATGAGGGAGGGGAATCTCTTGTAAATATTTCGTTATTGGTTGATAGCTTCGGCGCTGTGTTTGTGTTGCTGTGTTGGAGGGGGATGGAGTCTCTCGTAGGTATTTGTAGAAAGGCTAAATTTATGTATGTATGTGTATTCACCTAATTGTTTTGTGAGGGATAAATTATAGCTCTTGGGTTCCAAGTCTTACCTCTCATTAATCGACTGCTTTATATAGGTTCCAGAGTCTACTGGAGCTTTGTAATATCTACATTTAAATCTATGGTAAGATGTTGTCTCCGCTCTTAGTGCTTCCATTTTCTCACTATATACTGACACTGAAAAACAATATTTGTAATATCGCTGTGGTTCATTTCGGTACTTAGTTTCCACCTGTCTTCCTAACCACTTAGGCTGGACGGTAGAGCGACGGTCTCTCTTCATGCAGGTCGGCGTTCAATCCCCGACATCTGTTGAGAACCTTTTTTTTTTTTTTTTTTTTTTAATTTTATCCAGGTCATCCTTTTTTTTTTTTTTAGAATTCCATTGTATTTGTCCTTCATATAATTTTTGGATGATTAGCAAGCAATTAGAACAAGGAATTTATCACCGCTTGAAGACCGTTCACATAGATTATGAATATTATTGGCCCCAATACTAATCTCTTGGATGCCACTGGTAACATCCCGCAAATCCAAGGAGAGAGAGAGAGAGAGAGAGAGAGAGGGACAAAGACAAACAGACGACAGAAAGAGAAGGAGAGAGAGAGAGAGAGAGAGAGAGAGAGAGAGAGAGAGAGAGAGAGAGAGAGAGAGAGAGAGAGAGAGAGAGAGAGAGAGAGAGAGAGAGAGAGACAGACAGACAGACACAAAGAGAGAGAGAGAGACAGAGAGAAAGAGAGAAAGAGAGAGAGAGAGAGAGAGAGAGAGAGAGAGAGAGAGAGAGTAGACTGGCACCTCTGGAAGTCTCTAGTACATATACATAGAATGTGTTTATTTCACACTTCGTATAGCGTTCATTAAATCTCCGTATTAAGCTTCAGAAGGTCCACAGATCCTTATTCCTTGAGTAAGCGTTCACTTTCCTACCTACTAAGCTTTCACTGTTAATGTATAAGCACAGAACTTTCTTTGAAATCACTACCAGTTCACTAATTTGCTTGAATAGCCAACTACTTGGTACGTGCGCAGGTTAACAATTTCAACTCAGGGGCTCTCTCTGAATTTCTCACAAGGAACAGATCCACCGGCTGTCACGCCAGTATTGACATCTACCAGCTGTCCCTAGACGAGGAAATCACTCCGGTAATGGTCCCTGACAGTCGCAGAACGTAGTAGTAAAGCGCGGATATTAAAACTTCGCGATTCATATGCCGATTCACGTACCATATGTGATCTTCAGTAGTCCTAAACGACTTCTTAATCCTTTGTATCATATATCACGACCATGGCACAGTATTAGACCACACAGCAGGTGTTCTGATGCTGCCTTTAGCAGTAGTGGGGCCTGAAAGCCTATGTCCCGCTCAAAGGGTTCTCCTTCGTGTCTCCTGTGGTGATGTCAACCTCCCACTAGCAAACATAAACGATTTAGATTTATGTTCTTTTTCTAATTAAACTCTCGTTCGTAGTGACACGTGTGATCTTCTCTGGCGAAAATTTGGGTCCCGATTTGACAGGACATCACACAGTAATAACACGTAGAATACTTCATTTATACGTGTTCTATCAACTGGATTGAGAGAAGTTATTCATTGTTCCATACCACTCTTTATTCATTGACAGGAATACCTCTCGGCATTTTCTTTCACTTCTGTTCTAATAATATTTATTCTGTTTGATTCTGATAATACAACAAAAATCTTTTTCACATGAACCTAACACGTAGAGCTTTCCTTCCCTTAAAACTTTTGCCTTCTTTCGTTCTTGTTTAATTCGTCTTACCTTCTGATTACACAAACCTGCCTCTGCTCTCTGGGGCAAAGGCAGTTTTGGCTCTATCTACAAAAGGCAGGCAAAGGCTCTACCGTCCAGCCACTTGACGGTAGAGCAACGGTCTTGCTTCCTGCCGACTGGCGTTCAATCCCCGACCGTCGAAGCGGTTGGGACACCATTCCTTGCCCCCGTCCCATCCCAAATCCTTATCCTGACCCCTTCTAAGTGCTTTACAGTCGTAGTGGATAGGCGCGTTCTCCTGATAGTTTCCGTTCCCTTCTCTAAGGCCTAGGGCTCAGACCCGAAGTCATTTATGTTTTTAGATGTAAGAAATTTTGAGATGGGGTCCCCAGGCCAATCTCACTAACAGTATTATGCTCGCGACGCAAGGCTAATTACACCACATAACAGTAGGTAGACTTTGGGTTTGCCACATTCGTACATTTGCTACTAATATAATTTATTTAATTTTGATTGATTAAATGTTTTTTCAATCAAATAAAACAATCTATGAACGTTAGTGCATTGCAGGCGATGAGTCACAATAACGTGGCTGAAGTATGTTGACACTAGAAGGTGAAGGGACGACGACGTTTCGGTCCGTCCTGGACCATTCTCAAAGTCATCGACTTGAGAATGGTTTAGGCAATGTTTCCTTGTGGTTATGACTGGAGTCTTCCTCCACCTCCAACACTGCCTGAATAACTATAGTTAGAGTCATGATTACGTGAAGCCTCGTACCCCTCCTCTTCCCCAACACAGGCTGTGCTTGCGTCAAACAGTATGTAAGCAAAATACACTCGCTCTCGCAAACTGTGGAGAGGGAAAAAGATGGGTGGTTTATTGGGCAATACATCCCCGGCCGAGTGTGATTGTATTTCAAAGTTTGCCTAAGTAATGGCGCGTTCGGCAAGATTTATCGATGATTCTGAAATTATTCCTCTTGCTGAATACAAATGAGAGAGATTTCCTTCTAATCGATGGTATGTAAATCATAGGATTTTAAAGATATATGGATTACAAATGAAGTTAAAGGCTTTAGGATATTAAGGAATATAATTATTAAGATATCAGTTATTTGGATACAAACTAGACAGTTACACCTAATTTTGCGAGCTGTTATTTTCGTAAATGTATGTGTAGAATTGGTTATCAGTGCACGTAGCATGATAACGGAGGAGAGAAACAGCGCCGACAAGCCTGGTGGATGTTACCTTGACGGGAACGTGCACAATAGAAAGTGCACAGTAGAAAGTTGTATTTACATATTTATACACTGAAACGTGTATAAAGTCTAATGTAGTTGATTGTAACCATGATGTATATGCTTCAGACTACAGCTTAGATCTATTGTCTTGCGTGACAGTGAATACCAGCATTGTCCTCGCTCTAATAAGACTTAATTGAATTCCTCAGATTAGGCACAATTGTAATTAATTTTTGTCAATAAAGATGTTAATAATAATAATAATGAGAAGAACGTAGCTGAGGGCCTGCTGTAGGGTCCCCTTTTCGTCCCAATCTCACTAACGACCATTCCTGTGAATGGGCCCGGGAAGGGACGAGAGGGCGCTGGTGAACAAGCACAAGAGGACGCTAGAGAACAAGCACAAGAGGACGCTCGAGAACAAGCACAAGAGGACGCTAGAGAACAAGCACAAGAGGACGCTAGAGAACAAGCACAAGAGGACGCTAGAGAACAAGCACAAGAGGACGCTCGAGAACAAGCACAAGAGGACGCTCGAGAACAAGCACAAGAGGACGCTAGAGAACAAGCACAAGAGGACGCTAGAGAACAAGCACAAGAGGACGCTCGAGAACAAGCACAAGAGGACGCTAGAGAACAAGCACAAGAGGACGCTAGAGAACAAGCACAAGAGGACGCTAGAGAACAAGCACAAGAGGACGCTCGAGAACAAGCACAAGAGGACGCTCGAGAACAAGCACAAGAGGACGCTCGAGAACAAGCACAAGAGGACGCTCGAGAACAAGCACAAGAGGACGCTAGAGAACAAGCACAAGAGGACGCTCGAGAACAAGCACAAGAGGACGCTCGAGAACAAGCCCAAGAGGACGCTAGAGAACAAGTACAAGAGGACGCTCGAGAACAAGCACAAGAGGACGCTAGAGAACAAGCACAAGAGGACGCTCGAGAACAAGCACAAGAGGACGCTCGAGAACAAGCACAAGAGGACGCTCGAGAACAAGCACAAGAGGACGCTAGAGAACAAGCACAAGAGGACGCTCGAGAACAAGCACAAGAGGACGCTCGAGAACAAGCACAAGAGGACGCTAGAGAACAAGCACAAGAGGACGCTAGAGAACAAGCACAAGAGGACGCTCGAGAACAAGCACAAGAGGACGCTAGAGAACAAGCACAAGAGGAAGACAGAAGGAAAGCCGCACCCGCAGAGACCTGGAGCCGGGTAGTTGTACTTCAGATTCAAGCATTATACTCTAAGATGACCCGCGAGCTCACCTGTCGCCCCACTTAGCGAAAGACGACATCTGGGCGTTGACCAAACATTGAGTGTACGAGGTGGAAGTTCTAAATAGAGGTATCACAGAGGGAGGAAGCAGAGGGCTGGGAGAAGGATGGGAGAGAATGAGGGGGAAGGTGGAGGTAGAGGGAGAGATTGAGAGTGAAGTGAGAAGAATGAAAATGAATTTACAATGATTCTTTTATTATTCCGCGTTGGTTGGGCGCACAACAGGTGAGTTTGTTTACATGCTAGCCATGAACCCCTTCCCCCTCAGTGTCTTCGTAATAGAACGTCGCATTTGGACGTATACTCTACTTAAGGCCAGAAATCGTCATACTAGAAAATGGTATAGCGGCTCGCGAAATTGACATACTGTCCCGTTTTCTGTTTTGGGTCCTCTGGTAGGTTAGGATAAGGGCACTTTAATACGACAGTTTCTTGACGTTGGGAAACCTTAGGAGGACGGGCTGGTCGCACACCATAGAGGACATGGAGGACCAAAAGAGTGGGTTCATTCCCGAAGACAAAGAGTGGGTTCACGCCCAAACAAAGTAAGTACTATACCTTCCAAACCACCGTCCTGTGTTACACCTGGCCGAGTCGTGAGTGTTGAGCGCGGGACACCAGTCAGCAGACTGTGCACACTACACTGCCTAACATTCAGCAGACTGCACAATATACTGCCTAACGTTCAGCAGACTGCACAATACACTGCCTAACGTTCTGCACGTTACTGTTAAACCAATGAATGAGCATTCACTGTTCGTCATTACTGAAAAACATGGGAATTTGTAGGTTGCTGCCAATTAATCGTATATATATATTTATTTGTTACTCTGAATATTTCAATATTTCACGTTCAACCGGATAAATGTTTGAAGATAAGTTAGCAACTGTTATATTCTTTACTCAGACATTTTGTGCTTGGTACAATATGAACCCAACCACTTGGGCTGGACGGTAGAACGACGGTCTCGTTTCATGCAGGTCGGCGTTCAATCCCCGACCGTCCAAGTGCTGTATAGTCGTAATGGCTTAGCGCGCTCTCCTCATAGTTCCCTTCTCCTTCCCTTGGTAAAATATGAACATTGTGTGATTGTTTATACATAATCAGAACTCATTTGTTTCGTTATTTCTAAGTTACTCTGTGCTTTACATAATTTGCTAAATTATCCCACGTGACGCAATGTGCACGTTGTACAGGCGTAAAGTTATCCCACGTGACGCAATGTGCACGTTGTACAGGCGTAAAGTTATCCCACGTGACGCAATGTGCACGTTGTACAGGCGTAAAGTTATCCCACGTGACGCAATGTGCACGTTGTACAGGCGTAAAGTTATCCCACGTGACGCAATATGCACGTTGTATAGGCGATAAAGTTTAGAAACTATATTAGAGTTGTTGTATGTTTATTTAGTTAACACAGTAATAGACGAGCTTCAGGTGCGCTAAATTTAAAGCTTCTATTACGGAAAGTTAGAATTTGGAGCAAGGTTTCTTGTATATTTCACTAGGGCTGTGTCGTACCTTAGCAAGGAGTTAATTACTTCGTAAACTCAGCCGGGAAGATAAGCTTTTAAGAGCATCTTGTAAAAAAATATAGTGTGCATTAGGTCTGCCTCTGATGAATTCATAACTTCTCAACTATTTACTATACAATGTTGCTCCTATAATTCACGCTTACTTTTGCGCCGAGATACTCACAAAGGGAAATTTACACGAAGAACGACTAGAACCAATTTCGGTAATCTGCATACAGGGCAAGATTGCCAATTTCACTGATAGCAAATCGCGTTCAAGTGAAATGAGATTCGTGCGTTTGATGCTTATTTACCAGCGTCAGTTGATGCGTTAAATCATTTGCTTAGGAAAAGGTCTATTAAGGATGTGTTGAAACTTCTTTTCTGCTGGGTGGTTAATTTAGTTTTGGATTGGGGGTTAATAACTGTCTTTTGGCCGAATAATGTTTTGTCTGGGGATTATATTCGGTTGATAAAGGGTGATTGTATTTATTCGTCTGATGAACACATATATTATTTTTTCTTTTATTTATCGCGACTAAGGTAATTATCAGCAGAAAGCACTAAGCCATTATGACTATATAGCACGTGGAAAGGATATGAGGATGAGGAGTTGGGATAGGAGGGAGGAAAGGACTAGTGCCCAACCACTTGGACAGGTATAAGATCTGTCCAACTACTTGGACAGATCTTATCCCTGCTCGTAGTGACTGACAGGTGTATAACCTCCACATCTACCACCACCACTCTATGGCAAACAAGAGGGAGGTAAGACCAGCAAGGAACACTAAGGTGGTGGTTGTACTGGTGAAGATGGTGGTGGTACTGGTGAAGGTGGTGGTGATTCTAGTGAAGGTGATGGCCTATACTGGTGAAGGTTAGACTTGCTGTTTACCGAACATGAAGCAGATGTCAACAAAATAATGAGATTCTTGAAGGAGTTAGACCATGACCATGATAAGACCAAGACCATGAACCATGGTTCATGCTAGACCCTGAAGCATTATCATGCTTGGATACATAGTGGAACTGGTGGATTTAGTTAGACAAAGAAACAGGTTGAAGAAGATGAGGGATTACAGGCGTGCGGACTAGAGTAAGACGACTGATTGACTTTCCGCATGAAATCCAGTGGATAGAAATGGAAGGCAGCAAGTGGAGTGGCGGAATTCACGGCTGGGAAATGTGCCGAAGCAGCGGAACAGTTCGTACCGCTCTGGCAGGAAGTTAGCGAGAATGTATTCCTCGCTGGTTCAGTAGGCAGTGCAGGTATGCTAAAGAAAGGACCAAAAAAGCCTGGGTGTTTGGTTGGGCGTTTGCCACTTTTTGGTTGGGCATTTAGCACTTTTTTGTTGATCGTTTAGATTTTTTTGGTTGTGAGTTTGGTACTTTTTTGTTGGCACTTTGGCACTTTTTGTTAGGCGTTTGGCACTTTTTTGTTGGGCCTTTGCCACTTTTTTGTTGCGTGCCTAAAACGCTATCCCAAAAAATCCATAACGGCCAACAGGAAGGTGGAAAACGCCCAACACAAAAGTGAAACGCCCCCAAAAGAGCAAAAAGTAAAAGTCTGAGAGGTGAAAGTTTGAAAGTCTGGATTTGTTCATCTGAGAGGAGGTTTCAAAGTGGAAGAATGTATCCAGTGGAGTCTCACATCTCTTATGATGCAAAGCAAATGAAGTATATATAAACAGGGGAGTGCAGGAGGTTACAGGAAGACCTAGACACACTCCAGGATTGGGAATACAGATGGTCGCTAGAACTCAACGCCAACAAATGTAAGGCAATGAAGGTGGGAAAGGGAGGAAGCAGACCTGGGAATATCTAGACCATAAGGGAAAGACAAACTACAGGAATTGGAAAGAGTGAAATATTTGGAAGTGGATATAGTTCCAGAGGCACAAGACAGGATAACATAGGCTTCATAAGGGACGCTGGCAAACATAACATCGTTTAGAACCCTAAATTAGGATGGCAATCTACACAACATTTGTCAGACAAATATTGGAATATGCAGCACTGGCATGTAATCTGCATCTTGTAAAGCATAACACGAAAATGAAAAGTTTGCAACAAGATTGGCGCCGGAACTTCGAGGGTTAAGCTATGAAGATTAGACGAATGGAACTAAATCTCACAACCATACAGGATAGAAAAAAAACCAGAATGGATATGGTCACAATATACAAGATACTAGGGAAATAGACAAGGTGGACAAAATTGCGAGAAAATTAAACAAGAGGACAAAAGTGGATGCTTTAAATGCAAATCAGTCGGAGAGATGTAAGAAAATACTCGTATGCAGGCGATGAGTCACAATAACGTGGCTAAAGTATGTTGACCAGACCACACACTAAAAGGTGAAGGGACGACCACGTTTCGGTCCGTCCTGGACCATTCTCAAGTCGATTGTGAATGGTCACAATCGACTAGAGAATGGTCCAGGACGGACCGAAACGTCGTCGTCCCTTCACCTTCTAGTGTGTGGTCTGGTCAAAAATACTCGTACACTATACAGGTAGTCAACACCGAAAGAAGTTGTGGAAGCCATCTCCATCTACAACTTTATAGCCAGTTTCGACAAAGAATTAGAACGTCAGAATAGTTAACTTATAAGGCAACAAGAACAATAAATTTAAACAAGTAGGCGGTGCTTAAAGTTTTATAGACCTAACTCACTCGTAGTCAGTGGTAGCCAAGTACTGTACTGATAGGTAAGTACTCTTACCATCGCCACTTCAAGTACCATCACCACCACTACTATTACCACCACCACTACAGCTACCATCACCACCAGTATCATCATCTCCGCTACCATCACCATTACGACTATCATCACAATTAGTATCATCACCACCACTACCATCACTACTATACTACTATCATCACCTCCAGTATCACCACCACCACCACCACTACCACCACTACCACTACCAACACTACAACTACCATCACTAACATAAATAAAAAAGCACTTCAACAAACTCTCTGGTCAAGGAACAACGCACCAAACCCATTAATATAAATTTGTTATGGTTACAATTTTGCAGTACCAATTTGTATACGATAACCTGGCAATAATTACCACAATGTGAAGGTCTTGGTCCAGGGAGTTCTTGCAAAACCTTAACATAGAAATATTGTAATAAACACGCCAGAGGCGAAGACGGTAGGCGGAAACGAAGCGAGAAACAGGTTTGGCGATGGGGAGGGAGGGAGAGAGGGAGAGATGAAGAGGGAGGATGGGAAGGTTAGAGGGAGAGGAAGAGGGTGGGAAAGCGTTATGGAGACAGAAGTGAAGGAGAGGGAGACGTAGAAAGAAGGGCGGGGTGGAGAGAGAGAGGTTGAGAGAGGGGAGAGGAGGGAGAGAGCTGGGGGAGGTTAGATAAGGTAATTATCAAGAGAAAGCGCCAAGCCTTTCCGACTGTATAGCACTTGGAAGGTAGGAGAATAAGGATTTGGAATGGGACGGGGGGAAGGAATGGTCCCCCAAC